GGTACACAGACACACGTGCAGGCAAAACCACTCATACACATTTTAAAAATCTTTAAAACTAAATTTTTAAGAAGACTTGGAAAAGAAAGGCATAAGACTGGGAGGGTAACGGGGTGGGGGGCACCAGAGGGAGTTGGAGGGAGGTAGAGGCGGATGGATCTGAGCAAAAGACATTGTATAAATGAATTAAAATTTCAAAAATAAATAAAAAATAATTTTTAAAAGAGTTGAAATAAAGTGTTGATTAAGATTTGTGTCTGAGGCTGCTGCCCGGGCTTCAATCCTGATGACAGCACATGCCGATGCTGTGCCTGGGCGAGCGTTTTATTGTTCTGAACCCAATTCCTCTTCTGCTCGGAAAGAGAACTGAAAATGCTGCCCTCAATAGGGCCGTGGGCGAGGTGATGATGTTAGGTGTCCATTCTCAGAAAAGTTTGTGGTTTCATGAACAGGGTGCCCATTTCCCAGTTTTTTATTATGGTAATTTCTTGTGGCTATCTGACACAAAACGAAGCCCAGTTTAAAACACAAGCATGTACACAGCTGCCTGCTGTCACACACTGCAGGCTACACTGGCAGATAGCAGTCCAGGAATCTCAAATTCAATGGATGTTTGTGTGATGATTTAGAAGCAGTTTCATCACTTGGATCCAGTGACCACAGACTGTCTCCTGGGCCATCGCTGGCTTCCCAGCAGGAAGACACAGTGGTTACGGCAGGCAGCACTTTGGAGGGTTTTCAGGGGACCTGTGAGGCTTCTGCTTTTGATTTTCCTAAATGAAAGCAAGAAATCTCTGCAGGCTCCCAAAGCAGCACATAACAGTTACTGGTCACTTACTCTCCAGGTGAAGGGCAACTCGGAGGGTGAGGGACTGTTTTCTCCAAGTCCACTCCTGTTAGTTCTATCCAGTAATTCCTGGACACTGAGCATTGTTGCCAGCGAGGTACTAAGAGGCAGGATCTCCAGGGCAGACTCCACTCCTTATGAGTGAGTTTAACCACCGGAATCAGTATAGGCTTGCAATAGGGGCCAGGGTCAGAAGCAAAAGCAGCCTCCTCTACGTTTTGAGGTCCTGCCTATCTAGGGGCAGGAACAGGGGCAGGAACGGTGCCTGAGAATTTCTGCACCCATTACTTTTGCAATCTTCTCCACAAGGAGAGGCCCAGCCTCTGTTTGTAATTGCTGTGGTCCTGGGAGTTCCTGTGAGCCTCACTTCTGGAGCTCTTCCATCCCTGTGACTCAGATGCCCTCACCCCTGCTCCTGTACACCGTGTGCCCTTTGGGTGTTCACACTGTACTTCCAGGATCCGACAGAGTTTAGCCCTTACCAAGGCTTTACTGATGTTGGTTTAAAATTTTTATTCAGTTATTGTAAAAATCATTTTTATTTATGTGTATGTGTGTATGAGTATATGCTCACGTGTGTGTATGAGTATATGCTCACATGTGTGTGTATGAGTATATGCTCACACGTGTATGTGTGTGTGAGTATATGCTCACACGTGTATGTGTGTATGAGTATATGCTCACATGTGTGTGTATGAGTATATGCTCACATGTGTGTGTATGAGTATATGCTCACATGTGTGTGTGTATGAGTATATGCTCACATGTGTGTGTGTGTATGAGTATATGCTCACATGTGTATGTGTGTATGAGTATATGCTCACATGTGTGTGTGTATGAGTATATGCTCACATGTGTGTGTATGAGTATATGCTCACATGTGTGTGTATGAGTATATGCTCACATGTGTGTGTATGAGTATATGCTCACATGTGTGTGTGTATGAGTATATGCTCACATGTGTATGTGTGTATGAGTATATGCTCACATGTGTATGTGTGTATGAGTATATGCTCACACGTGTATGTGTGTGTGAGTATATGCTCACATGTGTATGTGTGTATGAGTATATGCTCACATGTGTATGTGGGTATGAGTATATGCTCACATGTGTATGTGTGTATGAGTATATGCTCACATGTGTATGTTGGAGGTCAGTAGAAGATGTTGGTTTGTCTGGAGCTAGACTTGCAGGTGACTTGAAACTGAACTCTGTTCTTCTGGAAGAGCAGCAAGAACTCTTACTCACTGAGCCATCTCTCCAGCCCCTGGTATTTCCTTTTAAATCCACATGTGCTAGCGGATGCGGCTGTTTTACTTTTGCCCCACTATGGTTTGTTCAACAGTGTATACACAGGAGTAGCTCATTTGGGCCCTGGAGGCAACAGTTGCAGCGCACTCCCCTCCCCCACACGAGCCTCACAGCTTTCCACAGCTTCTGCCACTTAGAGTCTCATTTGCACATGAAGGGATCTGCCACCGGATTCATCTGATGTAGAAAATGAGACAATGCATCATCTGGTGGCTTCCATAGTTTAAGCTACACAAATAGTTTTGGATGACTGATGCTAAAAAGTTGTTGAAAGAACAGTGAGTTAGCCAGGCTCAAAGTTCTACAACCAGGAACATGCCCCAAGTCCACACTCAGAACTGGTCCTAAGCCCTCCCCAGCACAGGTCACCACCCAACCCACAGCTGCTTTGGGAAGTTGCCACATTCCATTTGTATGGCATTTGAAGTTTAGGCTTGGGATTGGCTGAGTCTTATCCACATGTTCACTCCCTAGACATTGGGAGGGGGGGGGGATACTGGAAAAGGGTGTGTGACATTCTCAGGCTCCAAAGTGCTAAGTAGCCTGTGATAAAGGCGAGTCCTGTCCTCAAAAGGAAGATTACTGTACACAGAGACTTCGTATGACTAAGTGGTTAATGTCTATGTGACATCTAGGCGGCGACAGAGATGTATTCCTTCAGAGAAGTTGTTCATGGCCATTTGGTGAAGACCCAAGGGTCAGTACCGTGGCAGCCCTGGTGGAGCAGGTGGTGGTTTAGACTGGTTAAAGAGGGGAGTGGTGAATCCATGGAGACAGCGTGGTTTTGCTAAGGCTGCTATTACAAGTACCATGGACTTGAACAATAGAATTCTGTGGCCTCACAGCTCCGGAGTCCCAAAGTCTAAGATCAATGGGTTGGCTCCTTTTGAAGGTTGGGAAGGAAGGTGCTAGTTTGCTCTTTCTAGTAGAGAGTCACCAACCAGAGGCCAGCATCGCTTTCTCTGGCTACACTCGAGAAGGAAAACACATGGACAGACTTGCTGTGAGTAGCATCCTGTGGTTGGGAGAGGATGCAGCCTTGGGTTGAGGACAAACTGTGGAAAGCAGAGTGAAGCATCAGGAAGCTCCTGTGTTCTGAGTTTCTCAGCCACTAGGTTACCCATTCTCCAAGCTACCATTTAGTTAAGTATCCTTGGGGTTTAGCCATTTCTTTTTATTGTTTTTTTTTTAGTTTTGCAAGACAGGATTTCTCTTTTCTTTGTATCCTTGGCCATCCTGGAGCTCACTTTGTAATTTGTTAATCTGTTCTGCCATGAGCATCTGACATGTTTCTTATTTGGCGTTATTATGAACAGTGTTACCACGGACATTTGAGTACATATATCCTAGTGCCTGTAGGAAAGCTGTGCGATGGAATTTTCTAGAAGTAGATGTGCTGTGCGATGGAGTTTTCTAGAAGTAGATCTGCTGAGTTGGTCTTTGAAGTGTCTTTATCCAAGTGGGGACTGTATGAGCTCCATTCTAGTACAGGACACTGCTCTGTGTTCTTATTTGCCCCTCACATCAGCCCCTAGAGGTCAGTGTCATCCTTTCCATCCTGCAAGTGAAGAAGCTGTTTAAAAATCACAAGCCAGCAGCTCAGGTCTGTGAGAGTCGAGCCCTAGCTTTTCCTGTAATGACATAGGCTAACATGCTGAGGTTATGTGGGCCCATATTAGCATCAATGTATGGCTATTAATGTACTGGGGAAATGAACTTCCTTGGATAGCAGAGCACCAGGACCCCAGCACATTAGACCCACCCAGGTTGTGCCCCAAATGCAATGGCAGTGATGATGATGGAGTGGGTATCAGGGTGTCTAGACAGATCTCATTGTGGTTTTATTTACATTTCTCTTTGACTAATGATATTGAGTCTATGATTGCCTAATTGAACATGTGCATATAGTTTAGGGTCTGTTCAGGTCTCTTGATCATTTTTAATTATATTTGTCTTATTTTTATGTGTATGGATGTTTTGTCTCCATGTATGCTTATGAAACACTACATGTAGTGTCTTCTGAGGCCAGAAGAGGGCATCAGATCCCTCGGAACTGGAGTTACAGATGGTTGTGAGCTGCCATAGGGATGCTGAGTTTTGAATCTGGGTCTACTGGAAGAGTAACAAATGCTCTTAACTGCTGAACCATCTCTCTAGCCCTTCATTTGTATTCTAATAGATATTTTAGAGTTCTTTACATATCATGAATTTTTTCCTTTGTAGACAGATGCATTGCAAATATACTAATTCAGTCTATGGTGTATCTTCATTTGAAAGAATTTTAGTTGAATTATTTGCTTATTTGTATGTGGGTATATGCTATGGTACATGTGTGGAGGTCAGGGATAATTTGAGGGACCTAGTTATCTCCTTTTACTATGTGGATCTCAGGGATCAAACCCCAGTCTTCAGACTTGGTGGCAGGCACCATTACCAACTAAGCCACTAAGCCCTTTTCTTAATTTTTTTCATGGTGACTTTGGAAGAACTAGAGACTTGACCTTTATTAAATTCAAGTGAACTGTTTTCTTTCATGCTTATTGTCTTTTCTGAGATGTAGTGCCTCTCTTGCATATGCACTTTTAAGACGCTTCGCAGCTGATGCCACTGAGTAGTAAAGTCAGAGCTTACATCCAGATCTGTTGGACTCCCAGGCTTCACACTCACCAAACAAGCCATGCTGTAAGGGCCACTCTCCACATTTGTCAGAAGCGTCCAGTGAGATCAAGTGTGAAGTTCTACAAGGTGCCAAGCATGCTGGAAGTATCCCGTAAAGAGCCTCTTGATTTGCTTCCAGCATAGGCAGAGCAGAAGGAAATAACTCCTCTTATTTGTTTCCAGTATATCAAGGCCTTTTACAATGAAACGTGGCACAGAAGACATGGACATCCCATAGACCCGGATACCTTGACCCTGCTCTGGTCTGTGACTGTGTCCATATTTGCAATTGGTGGCCTGGTGGGGACGCTGCTGGTGAAGCTCATCGGAAAGTTTATTGGGAGGTCAGTATGGGCACTGTTTCTCTTTGGGGTCCTTTCTATGATAATTATAAGTGTCATTATCAGTGTCCCAGCAGGCAACAGGGTTCCTGTAAAGGGCTTTCCTGCCCAAAGGGAAGGAAGAGAGTGCCAGCGTCCAGGAAGATTAGGTGACGCAGTGACCAATGAGGCTGAAACTGTGGAGTGCCTGGGCTGTGTAGAACCCAAGGGAACGGGGATGAAATGCCCCGTCTCCTCTGCCTTCCCACCCTCCAGTCTGCTGCAGGAAGCTAAGGTGCCTAGTTGAGGCTTTCTAAGAGGCCAGAACAGAGCAGAGGAGTGGTTCAGGACTGGAAAACTGGAGAGCTCCCAGCAGAGCCTTAGAGGTTGTTCCACAGAAGCACAGGGTGATCATCCTTACAAGACGACCAGCTATTCAGGATGTCTTCCACTGTGTGACTGAGGGACACTTGGGGAACTTCAGTTGTCCCCATCACCAATAAGCCTGCAGTAAATTAAGTATGGAAATCTCTAGGTTTTGAGCTGGGGAGATGGCTGTCAGTACAGCACTTGCCTCATGAGTATTATGACCTGAGTTCAGATCCTGAGAATCCACACAAAAAGTGAGGCACAGTGGCACATCCTCGTAATCCCAGGGACGGCACGACAGGAGGCTGAGATGGCAGGGCTCCTGGAAGCTTGCGAGCCAGCCGGTCTACCTGACCTGGTATAACATATAAATAAATTAGATGCCCAGGCCAATGGGAGGCCCTATCTCAAAAATGATGGAAGGGTACTGAACAATAATTCTGACTTCCACATGAGTTTGGTTTATCAGGCTCTACCCCACACCTCATTGTCTTCTCTGTCTCCTTTCTTGGGGGCCTGCTGAGGTGGGTGGGGGCAAGACAATCTCTGTAAGTTTCATGTCTGAAGTTGAATCATGAGTCTCCCACTACTAGTTGGACGACCTTGGCCAAGTCATCTAATTATTCGAAGCACAGGATGATGGGTCCCACCCAGGCAATGTTACAGGTACTAGGGAAAAGGAGAGGAGGGAGAAGCACCCCAGTGAACAGAGACCATGTGTTTGTGGTCACCTTGCCATCCATACAAAGTAGCTGCTCATTAAGCCTCTATTTTACATTCACACAAACCGGAGAGAGGAGTCATCAAGCCCCAGAAAATCTCTCAGACTCTGGAGTCGTCCCTCTCCCCTGCAGAAGCCATAGACCCTTCTTTCCTTCACCATGCAGGGCAGTGTGTGCACAGGCATGGCCACAGGCTCAGCTTCTGCTCTGGGCTTTTTTGATGCTGGTATCTCCTGAGGTATCTGTGAATTACATGAACTCTCTAACCCGACCTGGTTAGCAGTAGCATGAAAATAAAGTAATGGCATGTATGAGAGCTAGCATGGGGATTAAAGTGGATACTGAGTATAAAATGCTCATCCTAGCAGTCAGCTAGAGTCAGCCGCCATGGTTCCCAGAGCCATGTGAGCACCACTAGCACAACAGGGCCCTTCCTGATGTGGGTGGGTCATAAGAACTCGATGAAGCAGCATTTTCCTTGTTGTTTTGTTTGCTTGTGTGTGTGTGCGTGTGCATGTATGTGTGTTTTAAACTGAGTTAGAAATGTCCTCATTGATCATATCACTAAATCTGATTCTTACCTCTGGAAATTGGTAAAAACAAGAAACAAAGCAACAAAACCCACATGGGCTTTGAAATCCTGGATTGAATGTCAGTCAGTCTGTTCAAGACTATCTATTTAGGGCTGGAGAGATGGCTCAGCGGTTAAGAGCACTCACTGCTCTTCCAAAGGACCTGAGTTCATCCCAGCAACTACATGGTAACTCACAAATCTCTAGTGGCATCTCATGCCCTCTTCTGGAATCAAGGTGTACGTGCAGATAGAGCATTCATATACATAAAATACATAAATAAATCTTTTGTCTGTACAGCACACTGGTCTGGGTACTGTCAGGGGCACTATATGAACACACTTGGGTTTGTGGACAAGAAAAGCACAACTCCTGAAGCTCAGAGCTGCCACTGGGCCAGACAGGTACACTGAGAAGTTCATCTGCAAGCCCTCATGGTCCCTCCCCATAAGTACTGAGGATGAGTGACAGGCTCACGAGGAGGCAGCTGACCTCCCAAGGTAGAATTCTGTGAAGTACAGATAAGCACCCCAGGGAGCAGCTGTGAGGGCTGGATGTGATGCAATTTACACAAGTTTACAGGGTGTCTCATGTAACTCAGGAAAGTCTTTGAATGCCTGTCACAGAGCCCCAATCAAGTTGGCTTAAGCCCCAAAGGGAATTCATTGGCACACATAACTAATGTTGAACCAGCCAGCTCATAGAATGTCACAAGGAAACCCAAATGATCTGTCTCTTTCCTCCATCTCTCAGCCCCTCCTTTCTCCTGTCAGTCTCTCCATGGAGGGTCAGCATAGACCAGCATTGGGATTCCTCTCTTAATAGTTACCTTAAAAGTGTCAGGTGCCAGGCTGGGGAGATGGCTTAGTTGGTAAAGCACCTGTCACGTGGGCACAAGAACCCAAGTTCAGATTCCCCAGAACCCACAAATAAAGCTTGGAGTGGTGGCTGCCTCCTGAAACCCCAGCCTAGGGGCCTAGGGAGGGCTGGACAGTAGAAAGTGATGGAGGCTGACACTCTTGAGTTCACATGAGCTCTTCAACATGTTCAGCCACGCTGAGCACGGCAGAAGCACATGTTTGCTAAGGTTACTTTCAACCACTGAGGTCTACCAAGCACACAGAAAGAAATGAAGAATGGTACGATTCAGGCCAGGGAAGCAGGAAAGAATAGGGCAAGGTACCATCTTGGCATTCAGGCCTGTTATGGCTTAAGAGTTGCTGGAAGGCACCTGGAGGCAGAGGGTGCACAAACACACAGCTTCTCCATTCACTAGGGCATACTGACCAGTGCTTTGCAAATGCAATCAAAACTGCAAGCCCTGTGTCTCCTACCTGCTCTCAGGCTTCCCCTGCCCTTTCCTTATCCGATCCAAGTCTCCTCACACTGAACCTTTCTCAAAGACCTGATGCCCAACCTCCCCACCAGCCTATCACTTTTCCTCTCTGCCCGAGAGCTAGCGACCTCCCGGGTCACACAGGGAAGAGCAGACACTATTGAAGAAGCTTCCAGCAGTGACTCAGGCACCATGGGTGGAGTTGCGGGAGACCTTGGACTCTACTCTCAAAACTGATGCTCCTTGTTTGTGTTGCTGTGTTCATCCCTGGGAGAAAATGGAAACACGATGATTAAAGTCTGCCTCTGAGCCCCAGGGAGTCAGTTTTGAGAGTTATTTTCAAATAAGGTTTCCATTCTCTCTGGGAGGCTGTCAGGCTGGGGCTATTTTGGGAAGGAAGATTTAATATGATGAAAATGTTAGAGGGGGTGCATCCCTGTTTGCAAATGCTTCCTGTCTGACTCAGATGTGACTAACATTCATGCAAGGCACCAAAGACACCTCTGCGGATAGTGCAGAGGTTCAGGCTGAGCCTCAGAAGACATCTTGGCCTCTCCCTCGGTCTTCGCCTCTGTCCACCCAACTGAGAATCCCAGCATGTCTGTCCTGAAATATGCAGGACCTCACTGTTTCTCACAGCCTGTATTGATGTCACACTGGTCAACGCTATCAGCAGCACTTGCTCACATTCCTGTGACAGCTGCCCCAAGGAACTCCTGACTCCACTCTGCCCACTCCTGGCCATGAACAGCTCAGATGACCGAGCTGTCTTGCTAGAAGTCAGGCCAAGTTGACCTTTTCTTTGCTATCTGTGGCAACCTCTCTCACCTGGGGTAGGAACTCACACCTGCTAGTGCCCAAGCACACTCCTCAGGAACACCTCTGTGACTCCCCTCTATCCACTCACTTCCTGCTGCTGCCTCCCTGGTCCTCCACTGTCCCCAAGCATACTGACCTCAATGATGTTGTCTGGATGCTCCTGGCTAGGCCATTCATCCCTTCTTCATACCTTTGCTCTCATGTCATCGTCCCAGGAACATCCTTCTGCTCTACTCTGTGCAAAATTATATCCCCTTCTCTGCTTCAGCTGTCTTGATAGCATAGGTCAACACTAGCATGCCACGTGCTCTATGCTGCTTATTGGGAACTTAAGAATGATGTCACCATGTTTGTCCTATAAGCCACCGTCTAGACTGGTGCTCAGCACTCAGTTCTGTGCTGAAGGAATGGATATTTGTGCAGAGAATAAATGTGTATGAGTGAAGATGGCAGCTACTTTTACAGGCCAATTGTGCCATGGTCACCTTCATTCAGTAGTGTGGCCTTGACAAAGGTACTTGCAAATCTTTTTCCTCAAGATGATACAACTTGAAGCTGGAGGGAGGGCTCAGTGGTTAAGATTCTCTGCTCTTCCAGAGAACCTGGGTGCAAGTCCCAGCACCCACATGGTAGCTCACAACTATATATAACTCCAGTTCCAGATGATCTGATGCCCTCTTCTGGCCTCTGTGGGCAGCAGACACTAATGCGGTATGCAGACACAAACACAGATAAAACACCACACAGTTATCGAACTCATAAGGCAACTTAGATAGTGAATATACAGTGTTTTAGACAGATTCCGCTCCATAGTGAATGTTTGTTAAGTAGCATCATTATGACAGCCACTCATGATGTAGGCTTTGGAAGGCTGGCTTGGCAGCATCTCCATATGAGCTACTGTGGCTGACAGAGACACTTAGTTCACACTCTACGTATCACCTACGATGACATTGGCCAACCACACTTTCCTGAGCATATATCACTGTCATCACTTGTCAGGTGTCTGTGTAAGTGCTATTGGTGAACCTGAGGAGCTATCAGGCTCAGAGCCACTCACAGAAGATTTACTCTGCAGAGCTCTCTCTCACATCCTCTAGCTCAAATATCCACTGTCATGGTAGCGATGCCATGGAGGGGTGTCTGCGAATGAGCTGAGGCTAAATTTCTGGCAAGGTGTTGTATTTCCCCGTACATGGAATGAAGGCACGATGTCTAGCCTCAGCTTTCCACTTTCTCCATCAGCTTTGACAAGCCCCTCTGATGAGGCTCTACTAACAGGGCTGTGAGGTCTTAAGGGTTAAGACAGGGACCATGCGTGGAAGCTACAAGGAAAGAATGCTTGCAAGAATTTTTTTCCTTTTTACCGTCAAGTATCTCCCGTCTCTAGGAAGGAAAGTTAAAATGGAGAGGCAGCCTTCCCGGAGCCCAAGGTCAGGGTCACACACTGCAGGGCACAGTTGCTGGTACCACGGCTGGGTCCCTAGAGGAGATGCACTCAGTAATTCCAGCAGAGAGAGTGTGAACCTGTGACTGTCCTTCTCTGCCCTCCGTTTGGGAGGCTTTCATAGCAATCCTACAGCAAGGCAGAGAAGGGAGGAAGGACGGAGAAGAAACAGGCAAATGGCAGACACTGTCCTGGTTACACACACTAGCCTCTATTGTCTCGATCTCACTCTCCTTGATTACAGTTATTTGAAGGCAGCTGTATTTGGGAACTATTAAATGGAAAGTTCCAGAAGCAAACAGTTGCTAAGTTTTAGATTAGTTGCTGTTCTCAATAGAGAAACGAGTCTCACACTGTCCTGCACTGTCCTGGGACACAAACTGTCCCTCATCTAGTGTATCCATACTGCTTACACTACACACCCTCTAATCATGTTTAGCCATCTTGGTATATCACTGATGTAACTGTTCTTTCATAATGAGGTGTGTTTCAGTTAGATTTGAAAAACAAAATCACATCATTTTTGGCTAATTAACACATCCATGTGGCTTTGATTTCTAAAGCACCCAATGGACACCAAGTTCTGGCTTCCCTTTTCACTGCTGCCCTCCAGTCCCTCAGTCCTTTCTGTAGAGACCCAGTGCTTGTTCAAGTTTGGGTGCCTTTCCAAGGTTCCTGCCTAGCGTGAGCACGCCCCCCCCCACACACACAGAGCCGCACATACAAAGAGATGCCCATACACATATGCACACATTCATACTCATACATCTTTTCCCACACAGATCATTGCGTGGTTTACAGCAAATTCTGCACTTTGGCCTTTTTATTTCTCTCTTATAGCTCCTCCCACCTCAGAGTATAGAAAAACACCTCTGATTTAATGCCCATATGAACAGACTACAGCTTAGTTTGCCATCAGTGAACACTTGGGCTGTTCCAACCATCTGCTGCTGTAGGATGCTGCTGTGTCTTGGTACCATTGCCACAGATGCAAATGCCAGTGACTATGAAATTTTCCAGGAAGATGCAGAAAGGGAGGGAACTTAGCTTAAATGTGGAAATGAGGCAGAAGTCACATGGAAGGTTATCCCATAACTCAAGAAATCTAACTGCTAAAGTGAATACCAAGTCTCCTTTGAAAAGCCTCGCTTCTCACAATTTACAAAACAGGACAATGTTTCTTAATTTACTTAGTGGTTTGTTGTTGTTGTTGGGGAGGGGTGAGGAGAAGCTGCTTCCTAACCTCTTCAACTTCCTAACCTCATGATTTACAGCAAGTTTCTAACTTGCCGGGGTCCTGGTTAATTTTGTATGACATAAGCATGTCAAAGCCCCTGCCTCTGAAGACCAGCCATACGAAGTGCTTAGATTAGAGACTGCCACACAGCAAGGCTTGAATACATGAGAGCTGCTGGGTTGGTTCTGCAGGTGAGGAAAAGAAAACACAGCTGCCTCACTCCTCAAAGACAGAGCCACCCAAGTGAGGCATGAATCTCAGCTGTGAGGGCTTAGGGACACATTCCTGAAACAGACAGCCATCTTGACACACAGCAGTAAAAGTAATTATTGCCAGGGGAATTTGTCTGGCTCTGTTTGATGGTTCTAACTCAGCTTTGCATCTAAAACTGTAGTTCATTAGATCTAAGGTGCCTATAGAGTATTAAGAAATATGATTGTTTTATTGAGGGAGAGGGAGAAAGTGAGGGAAAGAGGGAAGAGAAACAGAGGGTCAAGTCTGCCAGCTAGAACAGTAGGATGCCACCCTGGCTGTCCAGCTGTTGTCTGGGCTCCACACGCCCAGCTATTTCTGTTTGCCTGGCTTTCCTTGGCCACTGATTTCAGTTTCCAGCTTTTATTCAATCCCAAGAAGCAGACATAAGTGCCCATCAGAGAGGTGGTACCAGTAAGCGGCACCACTCTGAGACAGCTCTTCAGGGATCCCCTCCTGGGCCTCTAAGAGTGGCACCCCCTTTTCAGAGAGTCTTTGCATAAATCACTCTCCTAACACCGTTATTCAACTCCCCATGCTAACATCTTTCCACTGGAATATTGAGCGGTTGCTGTTTTTCTGCTTAGCCTGGCTCCTGCATTGTGACTTACACCTTATCTTGATAAATGATAAATAAAACTCAGAATTCATGAAATAAAACCCCTCCACAAGGAATCCATAGCTTTCTAGTTGGCAGTGCCCCTTCTTACCCCGTTGTGAACAGGGAAACAAGGAGTGGCAGCCAGGCTCAGGGTCACACAGTCAAGAGTGGAAGTGATCCATGGCCCTAATACCTAAGCCCAATGCTGGTTTACTGTTGGTTTATCTCACTCTACTGACCTCTTGGGGGATGGACAAGACTCCAACATGCCGCATAATATATTGATCTCATCAAGCCACTTTTCCTTCCAGGAAGTACACGCTACTGGCCAATAATGGATTTGCAATTTGTGCAGCATTGCTGATGGCCTGCTCACTCCAGGCAGGAGCCTTTGAAATGCTCATTGTGGGACGTTTCATCATGGGCATGGATGGAGGTGAGACTTTGCCCCAACTGGGGAGGAAGGCAGTAACAGTCCCTGGGCTTGTCTGGAGTGGGGAGAGGTATTAGGAGCTGAGATCGCCTTGGAAGAGACCAGGATTCTAGAACTCCACAGAAAGTGGGGCATCTTGGGGGAGCACTGAATGGCCCTCTACACGGTGTTGTAGCATCCAACCTGAGAAAACCAGGCTAGGTAGAGCTGAGTCACTGCCAAAGCCCTGGCTGGTTTACAGTGTGCCTGCTGCTTTCTTTATAAAACCCATACTCTAGGAGGTGAGCTGTGAGCTCGCCCAAGGCTTCTGAGCTCTGACTGCTCATTCTCCCGTTCTTTCGCCAAGCGTCAGAATACTGACTGACTATGCCCCATGTTCTATGTGCTGGGGAGACGCTACCTTCGGAGCAGAAGGCATCCAATTATGTACAAGTCCTAGGAAACAAACAAGGCAGGGCAGAGGCTAGTCTTTTTTTCTTTTTTTGAAAGCCTGTTAGAAGGATCCAGAAATATGAGCAGAGACCAAAACGAACCGAGATTGAGAACTGAGTAAAAATCAGGCTCTCAGTAAGAGAGGATAGCGGTGTGGTCCTGAGGTGGAAGGTGACTGGCATTTCTGAGGAAGAGTGAGGGGCAAGGGGCCCGGAGCTTGGTGGGGAGGGGAGTGTGGGAGCTGAGGAAGAAAGGGAACCAGGACCAGATGGTGCAGCCCACAGCTAGAACCGAGAGTTTGTGCAGAGTATGAGAGGAAGCCAGGAAGGGGAGGGGCATGAATTGTTTTATGACTCAGTGCTACCCCTTGGGCACTTGGATATGAAGGGAAAGGTGGGTCCAGGAGTCGGGTCAGGAGAACCGGGGACAGTCTTACGACTTGAGGAAGACTGTGTAGCAGGGTAGGCAGAGAAGAATGGCCAGATTCTGCCAAGGGAGCGAGATTTACAGATTCAAATGGTTGTCAAAACAAACCGCTTTCCCCCCAAACCTGCAGATCTGTAGAGAAAAGGTTCTAAGCCTTGTCATGACCAGTCAGCTCTAAGTGTTTTACACTCTCAATGATTTAAAATTACTTTTATTGATTTTGCCACTGTATGTATGTGGAAGACAGAGGATGGCTTGCAGGATTAGATTCTCAATCTCCACCATAGAGCTTCCAGGAATCGAACTCAAGTCATCAATCATGCTTGATGGCAATCACCTTTACCTGATGAGCCGTCTCACCAGCCTGCGTTGTGTACTCTTAATGTTGCCAGCTCAGTTTGGGTTCTCTTGCTCAATTTGAGATAGGATTCATGAAGAGAGGGGTCTCACCCAACAGAGTATCTGGGGTTTCTTCTCATGTAATTCCACGGGTTCCAGAGTACAGCAGGGAAGCCTTAATGTGCAAATACTATACATTAAATTAGCCATAATCACTTTGGCCAAAGCCAAAGCCCATGGTAAGAGCAGGCAGAGATCCAGCCAGGGATGCCGGCAGTGGGGACAAGCGCTGCAGCTTTCCTAACTGCCCGAGTCTCCTCCTGCTGCTCCACAGAGGGACCAAATAGCAAGGCTGGCCTGGTTGGATGATGCCAGTATTATCCTTTGTATAGTACTCAGTCTAGCGGGATCCAAGCCTGCCTGCATCCACCCCAGGCGTGGTGAGGATATTCTCATTCTGAGTGCTGCTGCTGGGTGTTTGATTCTAAGCTTGTGAGGGGCAGATCCAGGATCGGAACAAAAAGACAGAAGAGGGAGGCTGTCGGGCCTCCACCATGCTCTCTCTGGAGGTTTTGAGTTTTTTCCAACCGCTTTCCCCTTGGCTTCCTCTGCCTGCCTCTTGCTGTACTTGCTCTCCGAATTTCCACGTTCACAGATGAATGACTCTTTCACAGCCGCAGACTCAAAATAAATGCCTGTTAGGCCCCCTTTGTCTGTGAGCTATTCAGAAAGAAGCAAAGGAAAAGGAAGAGCAGGGGAACTTTTAAAACACGCCCTGACTTCTGGAGCACAGCCTCTTGAAGCTGTGCCAAGCACCAGAGACTTCATGTCATTTATTCTCACCAAAACTTTAGAGCAGAGAGAGCAAAGTGAGGGCATTTAAGGTAGGAAAGTTGTATAGGGAGATAGGAATACTACCAGGCCTGGGCAAGGTGGGCTGCGTGCTTATAACAGAATTTAAATCCAGGGCTGGGCGTGCAGTTCAATGGGTGGAGTGCTTGCTTGCCTAGCATTCATGAAGCCCAGCCCAGCCCAGCACCATATAACACCAGGTGAGGTTGCACAAGCCATATGGGAGATGGAAGCAAGAGGAGCAGGAGTTCAAGGTCATCCCTGACAAACTCCATTGCATACTGAGTTCAAGGTCAGCTTGATCTATCTGAGACTCTACTTGAAAACAAAGAATTTAGAGCCACATGATAATCCTGACAGTCCTAAAAGTAGAAAGATTTTTAATAAGATGCTGTTTGCCCAGCTTCTTATGGAGCATTTGAATCAGATTAGAAATGTAGGACAGTTTTGATTTTTTTTTCTGAGAGACTTGGAGAAACATCAGCATACTACTTTTTATATAGAAATAAATATGATTCAATATGCCACTGGAGACAAATTCACATAGACCAAAGACTTTAAAGTAGGAATTTTGTGTTGGTGGGAGATTGAACTGTACACGGCCCAAGCATGACCCCCCCCGGGCTGCCCACATTCCCTGTGGCACAGTTACCCATTGGCCACAGTAGAAGTTTCGCAGGACACAAGCCATGACAGCTACAAGCAGAAGCTCCCCAGTTTCTGTTGTTCAAGCAGACGTGCAGTTGCCCGGTTTCTGTTGTTAAAAATACGGAAAGTTCCGGAAATAATTTATGAGTTTAAAGTAATGTCTTTTAACAACATACCACCCATTATCACTTCGTCTGAACAATGAGATTTGGTAAAGACTCTATTGCCAGATAATGTAGATCTATGGAAACTGGACATGTTTGGAAGACACAACTCCACCTCCTACTGTAGGAGGTGACGCTGAACTGAAACAGGAAGTATAGGTTGCAATCAGCCTAAGATCTCTGAGGACAGAGGGTTCGAAACAAACAGAAGAACCAAGGTCAGACTTCGAGGACACAACGGGCCTAGAGCACACCCTGAGCCCTGAGGCTCACATGTCGAGGGAGCATGGATGGCAGGGAATAGGGTCAGAAGCTGAATAAGACTGCTTAGAGGATGCTTAATGAGAACCAACCAGCCTGGATAGATGGTACCAGGAAATCCAGGATGATTCAGAGACCCAAATACAGAATGTGTGCCAGGTATTCTGCCAATCCATATATCTATATCCATATCCATAACTATATCTATCTATCTATCTGTCTATCTATATTCCGTTTGTGTTCCCACCTCCATAATGGTGATAGCTCCGCTGTCCTCATATCCAGAATATAGTGGTTCATGCTGCCTTCAACTAGAAACACCAGTGAGCAGATTTGGGAATTAAATCTTTAAGCTATAACTTATTGAGAGAGATGACATTCTGGTGATGCAGCTGGCTATCACCCCACACTGTCTATCTTCTCTGGGCTGTCTCTAGGTATCATGTTTTTATAAAGAATCAGCCTTGCCCCACTGGTAGGGATCAGCCTTGTCTCTGAGATCCACAGTGTCCGTGTGTCCCTCCTGTGGCCTCTTGAACTCTCTGCTCATCGTCACTTTCTCTCTAGTGGAGGTCACATATTCACAAGGCCACTGCATCTCCTGTTCTCTAAAGAAAAGGTCAGTGTGTGTATGCCGAGGATGTGCGGTTCCCTTTCATAATACAAAGCACAAATGTGCTCATAACACAGAGTGGATGCACCCTTACCTGTCCCTCCTGTCTGCTCTTGCCCCTACAGTACCGGCGAGCTAGAGAAGTTAACACTACACTGTATTAGTTACGTTTCTGTTGCCGTGACACAAATGCTATGAGCAAAAGTGACATATGAAAGGAGTTTATTACAGCTCATGGTTCCAGAGGAAAAAGAGTCTATCACGGTGGCGAGGAGGCATGGTAGCAAGCATGGCAGCAGGGACAGGAAGCTGAGGGAGAATAGAGAACAAACTGGAAATAGGACAAGTCAGTGCCCACCACCCATTGGTGTACTTCCTCCAGCAAGTCTACACCACCTAAACCTTCCGAAAGAGCGCCACCTACTGGGGAAGAAGTGTGCAAATGCTGGAGCTTATTCAAAACACCACACACACTCATGGCCAGGTCCCTTACTGCTTCTTTTCTATACCACACACACACACATGGCCTTACTGCTTCTTCCCCATGGCGGTTATCATCTCTGTGAGCTGACATGTGCTCTCCCATGGTCTTGGTGTAACGGGCAGGAGACACATGAGCATCTGTAAGTGCTCATCCTGTGACCACATGTGAGCAAGGGCCTCTCTCACTGCTGAGTCTTTCCCCAGGCATCGCGCTCAGTGCACTCCCCATGTACCTCAATGAGATCGCGCCCAAGGAGATCCGAGGCTCACTGGGCCAGGTGACTGCCATCTTCATCTGCATTGGCGTGTTTGTTGGGCAACTGCTGGGCTTGCCTGAGCTCCTGGGAAAGGTAAGTGTGGCTTCCTGGACAGCCGTGGCTGCTTTCATCTCACTGTTACCAGGTCACAAGGAGCCCTTAGAAATCTCATCTCTGAGGTGGCGCTTCCTGAGGGCTCAGGTGTTTTACGCATTCATGGAGAAAAGTTGTAGGTGCCTTTCACTTTCTTAGAACATAAATACCACATAGCAAACTCAAACCTTACAGGATGTTCAAGTCCATTGCCCACTGACCATTGTTGACAGCTGATTTTGCATTTGTATAGGCTTTGCTCCCTGCTTTAAAAACCATATGTGCATCTTGTCTGAATATGTGGTTAGCTGTGGTTGTGTTGTATTCATAGGGTCATGCCGTGCATATGGTTCTGTAGCTGGCTGCTTTCATTTTCACATTTTTTGGGGGTATCTTTCCAAGATATTTATTATCTTTACCACAATCTTGAGTTTATCTTTTTTCCTAAATAATTGTGGGACCTTCCAATTTGCCTTGCTATATGAGGAGCAGGAAGGAGTGGGTTAGAATCCCAGCTCAACAACATACTTGCTGGGTGGGCTTGGCAAAGAATCACATCCATCCAGGTTCGTATAGAGTGGGGTGAGCCCAAGGAAGGTTTCCTAGAAGCTAGAGCTGAGAGCTGAGAGCCAGACAAGGGCTTTCAAATCTGTCTGCATGCTCACTCAGCCGTGAACCCAGCACTGGCTTCTCTGGGATGTCCAAGCTTAGGAAGAGGGGGCTGATCCTTCCGTGGGCTTCTGTGCACCGCCTGACCTCCCTAACTCTGGGTCCAGCTCCTATCTTACTCAGTGCAATTCCATGGGCCCAATATGTGGAGGTCAAAGGACAACTTTCCACAACAGGTTCTAGGGACTGAACTAGGTTCTCAGGTTTGCATGACAAGTTCTTTCGCTGGATGAGCCATCCCACTGACTTTAAACATACCTTTGTGTCATTATGCATGGCTTGTGACATCTTAGCTGGTCCAGCTTGTCCCAGAACCACCTGCCTCTCACCTCTCTGTGTTGACTGTCTGGAGTGACTACAAAAACATTCTTGTTTTCCCTTTTTTACAAAACCAGAAACAATGCCTGCTCCATACTTCCGGTTGTCTGGTGCCTGACAATTTCCATAATTAGTGTGAGTGTGCTAGAAACAGTCTGTCTGCCAGGGTGAGGTCTCACATTAAAAGATTCATTTGCTTTCTGTTTAAAGATATTTTAAGTTCCCAAAGTGAACACTTGTCAGTGACAATAAAAACAATTCAACAACCACAGCCTGAGCCCTTACAGCATACTTGTTCTCCTGGGATTAAAAAATTAAGTGCCTGGGGATGGGGTGGGGGGATGGGGAGCTGGTTGGAAGGACAAGGGAGGAGGGGTGGGAAAGGGAACTGGGACTGACATGCGAAGCATTCATGTTTCTAATTTAAATAAAAACATATATTGAGGGAAAAAAGAAAAAATGGAAAAAAATTAAGTGCCTGCTTTATAGGACTCTAAATTCCTTATCACTTACAAAGCCTAGATGCCAATACTAAAGACTTTCTGTTATCTTGGGCCCTCCTTTAACCTCTGGCTTCATCCATTTAGTTAACAAATGGCTAAAGCATTGAGTTGGATGCTGGAGTCCAGTAATGAGCATTTCGGATACATTCATTTCAGTGAGGCTTTGGCAGGTCACCCTTTCCCCAGAACCCTTCTTGGTAGCAGGCATGGCTCAAAGTCCCACACCCCCATGTCCTACTTAAACACCATTTCCTCCGGGAACACATTACTGTCAGAAGCGTCCTCAGAGTACCTTGTGCATGGTCTCTCCTGCTGTGCAGTTTCTGTTTGCTTTCGTGTTTCCTCCCCTCTGCGGAGTGCATCCTGCTGATAGTTATGTGTCAAGTTTATCCTCCCCCTCAGGAAGCCCTACCAGCTCTGTGCCAGATGTTGGGCTGGCTGCTGCTACTGCAACTATGGGGTGGCCAGACTAGACGCCATACTCATGGAAACCACAGGGAGGCGATTAGTCAGTGGCCAGCAGATGATGGAAGAAGCAGGACACTGACCTTGCTGGGGGAAGAATGGTTTTCCTGCAGGAGTGATGCGAAGTGAATGCCGTAGGGATAATTAGGGTTTGTATTGGCCAGGACTGGGGGTGGGGGAGTAAGTGAAGAAGATAGTGTAGAGCAGACAGAGAGTTTAGAAAAGATCCTGGCATTTGTTTAGAGGCAGACAGACCTCCATTGGCTCAGGGCTTAGTCACCTTCTGTCTCTTGTCGTTTTGATAATGGCCATCATAAGGGTGGGAGGTGACTTGTCACTGTGGTTTTGATTTGCATTTTCCTGATGATTAGTGGTGCTAAGTACCTCTTCAAGTACCCATTGGCTGTTTTTAAATATCTATTTTACTTGTTAGTTTTATTTATACGTGTGTGATCCTGAGTTTACATACGTGTACCAGGTGCATGCAGGTGCCCATGGAGGTCAGAAGAGGGCATCAGATCATCTAGAACTCTTTTACATGTGGTTGTCCAGTTTTCCTTGCATCTCAATCTAGACCAGAGGGATTATCCCGATCCAGCAGAAAGTTGCCAGGAGCTTGGCTCAGAATGGCAGCAACAAGGGTGCACGGGCAGATGAGATTGGAGCAATCAGTGGGTGATGGCCCGTGACAGCTTGGGAGGAGTCAGAGATATCTTGTTAGCCAGGTAGAGTAGTAGGAGGTCAGGAGAGTTGACTTGAGAACATAGGCAGTGCATCTGTTCCCAGGTGTCGAGTGCTGGCTGCCCCTGGAACAGCAGGACACATCAGCATGACACCAGCTTGTTGGTCCAGCAACTATGCCCAGCACCTCACCTGGACCAGCTGAGAAGGCACTGGCCACTGAACGTTGTCTTGTCCCATGTGATAAAAGAGCTGAGGAAAACGTCTTAAAGGAGCAAACATTTATTCTGGTTTACAAAATTCAAATTTAAATTTCAGAAATTTAGTTCATGGTCAGCATTGCTGAGGACTTGTGTTAAGGCAGAATGTCTTGACAGAAGGGCATGGTGGGTGGAAGATGCTTACCTCACAGCAGTGAGGATGGAGAGAGGGAGGGAGGGAGAGAGAGAGAGACAGAGAGACGGTCAGAGAGACAGAGGGTAACAAGACACAATCTTCAGAGGCATTACTCCAGTGCCACATGTTAATCCACTGATAAGGACAGAGCCCTCATGATGCAATCACTTTCCCAAAGTGTCCCCTGGGAATCCTACACTAGGACCAAGCCTTCAACACATGAGTGTCTCAGGGGGACACTTCACATTGGATTTTCTAGACTGAGTTGACTCTGGCTAGAACAGTGGTTTTCAAACTTCCTAATGCCTTGATCTTTCAATACAGTTCCTTGTGTTGTGGTGACTCCTGACCATCAAATTATTTCGTTGATACTTCATAACTGTGATTTTGCAACTGTTATTAATTGAAATGTAAATATATGATATATGACCCCAGGGTGATTCATGACCCACAGGTTGAAAACCACTGGGCTAGGAAAGCCTGTGCATAGCCCAGTAAGCATCTTGGGTTTGGATTTGTTTGTCATGGTTTTTCATGCCCACACTCTGCGAAGGGGCTTCTGATGAGGGAAAGGACATCAGACAGAAGTTTTTTCTTCATCTCCTCTGGAGTTTTGGGAGGTTCCAGCTGAGTGGGAGCCATGGGCATTTCACCAGGTGTGAGGATTTCAGTTCTTTATTTTAATCCTGTTTCGCATTTACCTTCAAAGATGGAGACATCTAAGCTTTTGAAACTTAAAGACTGAAAAGGGTTGATTCCACTCGGGTGGTTTCTTTGGAACACAATGGAGGGAGGAAGTGGTGAGAGTTACCTTTGGGCTGTGATGGCAGAAGAAAGAGAGTGATCCTAGTGCGGGGCCAAGACGGTGTCATGGATTTCATCAGACTTGTGAAAACGGTGGTGGTGGGACATTCCATGACATTTTTTTTTTTGCTTCTGAGGGACATGTTAAAAGGCATATTAATGAAGTATTTCTCTAGCAAAGATGAAAAGAAAGGAAGATGGATGGCAGGGATATGGGAGGAGAGGTCTGGGAACACGTGTGCAGCTACTGTGACTGAGCCATCAGGCCGGGCAAGCAGAAGCTGAGAGCTGGCCTTTTCTCACAGGGAGCAATGTCAACCAAACACCTCGCCTCCACATTGTTTCATCTCGGAACTCTGCTCTTTGTGCCTGCATGGCAAGTGCTTTATCTACCCAACCATGTCCCTGTCTGTGTCTGCTTGAATAGTTGACTCTCAGAATATGGTATGGAAACCATTCACATTTGCTTTTTTCTCCCAACTTTATTCTGCTTTCCCTAGGCTACACCATACCCCGCTCATATTTGAGGTGCCCTCAAACACATCAAGTTAGCATGTCCACATGAGTTCCTGCTTCTGGACTTCCCATCGTGTCCCTGTGGCCTCCCCACTCTCTGGTCCACCCTGCTTTCAGGGTGTGACTTTGTGTCCATCACAGTCAGCTCTGCCTCTACTGTCAAAGCTGGAATCTTTGCTCATTGTCCCCTGGGATCCTCAGGACCATTCTCATCTCAAACAAAACTAACACTGAATGTTTGATCCAAATTATATTAAACGGATACACTTATTTGGAAATGTTGGGCTTGATTCCTGTTTTACTGCCAAGAATTGTGTTTCCCTACTCATTTTGGTTCTCCTTCATATTACTCAGTCGAGGTGATGGGAGTGCTTTATTTAATTTCTTTTTATTGTTGTTATTATTGTCTATAGCTGTGGTTCTTGGATGAAAGTTTTTGAGCCTTACACAAGTTAGGCCAGTCACTGATCCCCAGCCCTGCTGCTGCATTCTTACAAATAAAATAGACACTGTATTTGTGTATTGACTCATAAGCTATTTTGCTTTGTTGCTAATGGGATTTCTTTTCTGCATTTTGTTTTCAAACTGGTGATTGGCAGGTTGGTATATGCTGATCTGGAACTCTTTTTCACTTCCTAGTAGTGTCTG